TAGAAACCTACAAATGTAGAGGACGACGTTTTGAAAGTCTTCTGCCTTTCATCTTCAGTATCATTTCTTGTTGCACTCAAAATAATACTTATATTACAATTCTTTGTTTTCAATTAGTGTTTTCTTAGAAGATAAATTAGAGTTTCAGTTTCTACATGAGGCACTTTCTAAAGATTCCAGTAATATCTCATCTGTATTTGTAAAAAGAGTAGGTGAGGTTTTACTTAAGAAAATGAGAAACCCTTAACAATTATTGTTGTGGTGTATATTCATTTAATTATTCACAGTAAAGTTACTTTGGAATTAGTTAAAATATTTATCAGTTGTCGATCTACTGATGTTGCTTAAGTTTTTTAATATGTTTACAGCATGCAATAAGTTCAGAATTATAAACTTTGGACTAAGAAATAACCTTTAATATAATAAAACTTGGAAATATTCTACTCTGTTCGGGATTGCTAGATCCCTCTAGTATATAAAAAATGAAATGAGTTTCATGTGACTGTAAACTACTAAGCAATTTTTTAGGTTATGTTGTAGGTGTTTAGGCAGAAATGTAATGAATCTTGATGTTTATTGTGAAAAATGCTTTTGATGATATTTGTATGTATGAATAACATTTCACACTATTAGTAAAAGTTATTCTTTTTACTTTATTTGTGGTAAAGAGAAGAATCCACAAAAGTAGAGTTAATTTGGCTATGTAAGCAACATTGATTTATATTTCTTCTTATACATTTTACCATTAACTGCAAAACCCACAAGCATATTTTAAATTTTTAATGCAAACCCTGAATGTGTTTGTTATTGTTTTGGATTTTGTGCAAAGCTACATGAGGGCTATCTGCGCTAGCCCTCCCTAATTTACCAGTGTAAGACTAGAGGGAAGGCAGCTAGTCATCACAACCCACCACCAACTCTTGGGCTACTCTTTTACCAATGAATAGTAGGATTGACCATCACATTATAATGCCTCCACGGCAAGTAGAGCGCCCTAACCACCTGGCCATGCCGGGCCTCCCTGAATGTGTAAAATTCTCATAACTGTATGTCATACAAGGCTTAAATATAATATTTTTCTGCCATCTTCATTAATTTAGTTTCTTTTAAAGCTTGAAAAAAAAAATCATTGCTTTAATAAGTGAATTTATACCTGGCTCATTAAAAATTTTATAATCTAACTTCTGGATTAAAGTTACTGATGTAAAAATTTAAAATTTGCAGACAACAGATATTCGTACATGTATATCATAAAAATAATGATTTTAGTACTTCAAACTTTGGCACAAAGCCTAAAACTCATGACTTTTATATGCTGTTTTTAGGCTCCAGAAAAAAAAAAAAAAATAAAAAACAACACTGCAAGAAATTATGCAAACAAGTAATAAAAATTCATAATATATATTTTTTTTTCACAGTGTAGTTTAAGAAGTTTTATCTACATCTCAGATTCAACCAATTGTAATTTTTTATTTGTTTCTAATAGTGTTTCATCATAGGTACTGTTTAAACTAGACTTTCTGTGACATTTGTGTTGGAAATCTTTTTACTAAAGTAGTGTCATTATTGATAATTTTTTGGTATTTTGACAAACCATTGGTGTTATTTCTCTGTGATTGTATCAACTGAATGTCCACCATTTTTTCATTATATGTTTTTCCTTTACATCAATTTTACGGGAGCTTCTTCCTTTCTGCCATCATGGCTTATAGAAGTAACTGTTTGACAAAATACCATAGTTCTCCTGGCTTCAGTATTCTTTTTCCAATTTTTTTATGTGACTTCAGTCTTTTCTTTTCTCAGTATACCTTATTTGTTCTTCTACTCTGTTTGAAATAAACATTAAAGCTTATGATGCTCTAATCTAGCCACAGTTCCTTTCATTCCTGGAAGACTTACTTTCTTCTTCTCACTTTGGGATATCATATTTTTTCTTTACTTGCATGTCTTGGACCCTACTTGAATACTTTTATTGGTTGTTTATTTTTGAACAAGTAAGGAAACACTTTTCAAAAAAGGAAGGAAATGTAGGGATGGCTAATATCAGTCCTTCAAAAACAATGCAAACAAGATAGTAGGGATTTTGTTTGCATTATCCTTACATAGTAATACAGGCACACAGTATACTAGAATGTTAACAGACAAAAATAGGATAAATTAAACTCGGTTGTGATTGATTAGTTATATATATATATATATATATATATATATATTGCTGTATGTTAATTCTTTCCTGTGCTATTATGTAGGGATGATGCAAATGCCATCCCTACTTTCTTGTTTACATTGTTTTGAAAGGATTGATATTAGCCATCCCTACATTTACTTCCTTTTTTTTGAAAAGTTTTTATTCCAAAACATACTTACCCTCCACTGACACTTTAGCCATTCCTCGACGATTGCTTTGCCTATCTAAGCATTGGTTTAGCATGCGCCAGTCTTTTATACCTTTCTTAAATGCCCATGGCAATATCTAATTTGCAAATTCCTCCACCTGCATCAGTGTTCCATCTATCCTGAAACTGTATATAAGCACCTCACTCAGATAATTTAATCACTTTTTTCATGACAAAGCATTGGTCATGGTTTTGTCTGATAATGTGCTGTGGTTTGTTCTGTTATGGATTGTGATTTTCGTGTTGCTTTGTGGATTTTTCATATAATTATAATTTTCTTAAAAAAAGAATTGGATGTGATGTTTGCGGGTATGAATTCCTGTATTACTGTTGTCAGTACGCCCTCCCCTGTACCTCCTTTGTTATCTAGTCTCTCTCTACGGTCGGGGGAGGAGGCACTCTCAGTTTAGGCTATCCGTGTTTTGATCTGTTGGGAGATGGAAACATATATTTCTCCCCAGTCCACAATGGAGTCCTTTCTCACCCTACATTTGCTTTCTCCACATTCTCATAGTGAATTCATTTTGCCTCTAGCTGTTTTGTATACAGGGATCAGGTTCTGCAGTTCAGGGATCTAGTCTTTCATCTAGCATCAGCACCATATGTCTTCTGCTTTTTCACCATGTTTTATGCCAAGTTCAACTAGCTCTAGGCTATGGAATTGAGCAGTCAGGCTCTTACTTACAGAGAAGGTTCTATCTTTGGGGTTGTGGGCTTCCCTCATATCTTTTTTGGGTAGAGGATACATGCTATCTCTTCAGTGATCCCATTGCAATGAATGTATCTGTAACTTCAATGCACTGTATTTTCCAGTCTCTCTCTTCAGGATTAACATCTTAGTTCTTGAGTGGTTGTTGGTTTGGATCACCTCTATCATTAGCATGTGTGTGTCTATATATTATATATATGTGTGTGTGTGTATATAAATGTATACTGCCCCTCTGCCAATAGTTTCTCTTCACAAATACTTCACTTGGAGGATGCGGTGTGTATATTCAAGGTCAGAAATTCTAGGGTATATGAATCGAGGACGAATCTTTATTCTACATCAGTAATTTAGGACTTTTTGCTCTCCAACAAGCAATAGTGCAAGGTCTAGATCTTTTGCAGGGGAATATCCTCATGAAACATTTAATCAATTCCAGTAATCTCTTCAATTTGATTCTTTCTATATGAGGCCTATTCCAATCATGTCAGCCTCCTGGCTTGCCATTTTCCTGGGTGATAGATTTCATAGCAGATTGTCAGTCTCAGTCCTCTCTTTCTCCTGAACAAATGGATTCTCTGTTGTGTGATTTTCTGATAGCTTTGTTCTCATTTTCGGCTTCCTTTGTTAGCTTTTGGCCACTTATTGCTATTCAGCTACAAGCTTTGGAGTCTCCACTACTTCATCTTCAGGCTTGGGTGGTAGATGCAATTGGTCCTGCTTGGATGGGATTGCTCATCTATGATTTTCCCTCCCTTCCTCTGTTACTCAGAGTTCTGGCTATATTTCAATCCTCTCCTTGCAAAATTTTGCTTGCCTAGATTGAGTGGCTTAGCCATGATTTCCTCTTCTGCAGTTTCTTCATGTGAGTCCACCTCTGCACGTTCCATTTTGTTTATCTTTATTGAAGCATCCTCAACCCAACCTTCTACACAAAGAATCTTCCCAGCTCATTGGGGTTTTTACATCTACAGTTGCTTATGGTGTGCCTCACAAGGAGTTTGTGCCCACTTTACCAAGCGTATTCACCATATCTTGTTTTGACTTTTTTTTTTACTTAGGTTTAGCTTCGTCTCCTGCCGTTTCAGTCATACAGCTTTTTCTTCTCATTTTATTTATCCTAAACATCTGATGGTTTTATATTCCTCAGTGCTATCCAGCCTTCTTCCCAAATGGTCTTTTCCATTACTTATTCGAAATATTAAGGTGGTACTACATGTCTTGTCTCTACAACCTTTCGAGCCTTTAGCCTCATGTGCCATGTATCATCTCTCCCTTCATAGGTATTTTGTTGTTGCTGACATGCTGATGTCATCAGCTGGAGTAGTTGACATGTTTGTAGGACTCTTTATTTCTCCCTTTAGGTCCTTCTATATCCTGATAAATTCTTTTTTTTTCTAAGTGTCTGGTCACCAGGGAAGGGGATACATCCCTCTTCACAGTTCTTTTGCCACGTATTTCTCACCTCTACAATCGATCATATGTTGATCATTTGTTTTGTCCTTTTGTGGTGTTTGTTCTCATCTCTGTATTCTTTGGAATACTTTGGTTTCCAAAGGTTTGTCCCCACTTCCTTGGAGGTGGTTTGCAAATCTCCAGGTTGCATATTATGGATTTTACAAGCGAGGAATCTCATCAGCTTCAGCATATTTATGTCTTTCACTGCCCATTTCTTTGGTTCACTGGGGGACATTTTGTGGGCCTGTATGTGAACTTCTCCTAATGCTTTTTTCTCACATTCTTTATCTGATTTGGCAGTTTTCTTCTGGGGGTTTTCCACTATCCCCATGGCCATTTTAACAACATCTGATAGATTATATGGAGGAGGGGGTAATCTTATCTTTCTTTTTCAGGGTCCCTTACATCTTGCTTTCACCGGATCTCACTCTGTGGCGAATGTTGCCCAAACAAGTGTGCTTTTATCAATCCGATTCTGCACTAGCAACCCATTTGACTATACTTAATTCTGGTTGCAACAGGCTCTGTAGAAATGAGGTGTTCCATAAGACCATCTAGGCACATTACTAGATGGTATTACCATATTATCATGGACTGTAATGAGTAAAGCTAAAGGGGATTATGCCTGTCCCTGCCAGTCATCAGATTGAATAAATCGGGGTCAGTTGGCTTTTAAAGATTTAGGGAACTTGGTTCACCTATTGCACTGTTTCCAGAGCACTGTTCCTCAGGACTCCACATGCACGTTACCCCCCTCCAGATTCTACTAGTGGAGCTAGGGAGTCCTTATCACACCCATTTTCTAGTTGTTGGGATGGTGGACAGAGGCTTTTCCTCCAAAGTGTTTGAGTGTGTTCCTCCACTTTTAGATAAGAGGGTGAAGCTGGGGGCCTTCCTACCCAGGTCCCTGGATGTATTTCCCAGATGTCGGTAGGAGCAGCGCTGTTCTACGCGGGAGCCTTCTCGTAATACCAGTTTAGATTTGATCCTACGTTATTTGGTTGAGGTGTGCTTGGCCCTTCTGATGAACAATGTCGGCTTGTATATTGTTTGTTGATGGAGGTACACTACTTCCTCATAATTCCAAATGTGAAGTGGTCCCATCCTAGGTCCTTGGTTGAACACAGTGTTCAACATCCTCTCCATAATTTGGAGGGCAAGTGGAAAGCTCCTTGCCCAATCGGTTGGAGAGTGAGGATGAATGTTCATAATTCCAGACTGGATGTATTCTGTTTCTTTGGTTGAGTAAGGCATATATGATCCTGTCTTTCTGAGTCTGGGGTGGTGCCTTTCAGACTTCTTCAGGTGGAAAAGAAAGTTTGCCCACTTCAGTGTTGCTTACTTTCTCATTATAATTCTGGTGGTTCAGAACACATCACTCTATGGCTACAGGTTGGAATCAAATCAAAAGTATATCTATGTATGATATCGTGGTCCAATTGCCCTAGCCATCAACATGGGATATAGAGACCATGACCCCTATATTCCAACCCCGAGTTATGTAACCTCGGTTATCTGGTTGTGGCTGTCCTATAATAATTAATCGTGCACTATTCCACCCTTGATACCAATATGAAGTTCTGGGTGAAAATCATACCTCTTCTGGATATAGTACTGTTTCCCCACTTGGGTACCACTCTTATCTTGGTACACCCCTGTTCTATACAGACGCTTTCTGTATGGACAATGCCCTCACCAGCCCCTCTGAATTCTTAATGTGGGATTCTAGCCAAAGTGTCAGCAGACGTTTTGGAAGTTAACATTTTCCTAGATTGAAAATGTATTTCCAATAATACTTATCTCCACTGACACTCTCTTGCCCTTCCTCCCCACTAAGAGCCAGTGTTAGTGACTGGGATGGTGTAAGTCTCAAAAAAGTGATTACATTATCGGAGTGAGGACTTATATACAGTTTTAGGACAGAGGACGCATTGATGCAGGTGGAAGAATTTGCAAATTAGATTTTGCCAAGGGCATTTAAGTGAGGTATAAAAGACTGGAGCATACAAAACCAATGCTTAGATAGCAATAGCTTAAGTGTCAGTGGAGATAAGTATTATTGGAAATACATTTTCAATTTAGGAAAATGTTAACTTTTACTTGTTTGCTTGTTGTTGTTTTTGATGAAG